TTGTCCAGCCAGGAAGAACGCTGCACTGTGAATTCTTCAAAGATACAGCAATGAAATCAGATGGCTTTCAAGCTCTGCCCAGGCAGGGCTGGCATGTTCTGGGTTTCCTTGGGTCACAAGCATGCCCGAAGTGACAGCGGGCACCCTCCACGCGCTGGCAAGGTACCGGGTCTCCCGGCCCCACCCTGGTTGCCAGCCTCAGGAGGGCGGGTCGCCCCCGTCAGCAGCCACTGGCCCGCGCGGACGTCGCTCTGCTAGGACTGCTGGAAGCCGGGAGAAGGCAAATTGCAGTCGCAGGGAGGCTCGTTCCCATCGAGTGCTGTGATTGGCTATCTTCGAGGGCGGGGGACCGGCAAGCTACCTTGCCGACTGCCGATTGGCCAAAACTGCCGTCAGTCTGCGGGCACAGACTCCCCCCTCTCCATCTGGCCAACTGCGGGCTAGCAATTTTCGAGAATTTCCAGCAGATGAGGCAGTGGCCACTGTAGCTGCTCGCTGAGGAGATCCAGGACAGCGGAGAAGGCAGTCTTATTTACCGACCAAAAAAGCCCCTCCCCTGCCCTCCGTTAGCTAATCCAAAAATTTCCAGGGACGTAGCCATCACCAGGTAAGCGCCTAGAGAGAGCAATTCATTATTTCTGGTAGCCGTTTCTGACGTTATTTATGGCGTCCTCCGGAATAGAGAGTAAAACAAGGAGTTTCCCGGGGTAGCAAAGGAAATGAGGTTTAGGTTCCCTAGCCCCAAGCGCGCCGCTTTCTTCCCTGCGGGGTACCTGTAGCCTGTTGGACCGGTCCCACCCGGCTGCCCCCCGACGGCCCTCGGCCTTGAACTTGACCGCGGGGCTGGAGGCGTGAGCCGAGCCAGCCGGTCTGGTAGCCTGTGCCGGGATCCGGCGGAGGAGGGGAGGCGGGGAGCGGCCGCCCGCATTTCCCGACAGCAGCCCCCGCCGGCCCCTTTTCGGAAGCCCGGGACTCTACGATGCTGCAGGGGTCGGCGCTGCGCCGCCTCCCGCGAGAGGGAGACGTGGTGACAACGCTGTCTGCCCGCCAGGAGCGAGGTGGGGAGGCGGAGAACTGGCGGCGAAAGGTGCTGGGGGAATCCAGCCCTCTGAAAGGCTGCGCGCCACTCATCTGTCTTGGCCAGGTAACCGAGCCGAGGATCCTGAGCTGTCCAGAGATGAGCTTTCCTGGAGATCGGAGTAGCAGAGCCCTGGTTGGTTTTAATACGAGGATTTTGTGTTACCTTTGCCAGGAGAGAGCTGTAATCTCAAGGCCTTGAGGCTGGTGATGCCTTTTTTAGTAGCCGCTTTCTGTAGATTAAAGAATAAACTGGTGGTGACAGAGACGAGGCTCCAGGTGGAAATAGCCAAGGGAATTTGGAGTCTAGAAAGCTCCACTGGCCTCTGTGGAGTTGTTAACGTGCAACAGGCCTAGTCGGTTCTTTGCACCCTTCCTTGGAGAAAATGGTTTAAAGTGACTTGTCAATAGTCTTGAAGAACAGTAGTGGTTCGTGGTATTCTGGTTAGGCTGCTGTGGCAGGAAGAACAGCGCGGGGAGAGAGAGAGAATGAAATGTGTGTGTGTTTAAGCATGTAGAAATTGGAAGAGGAAAGGATGGGGGAGAGGTGCATGTGATATAATGTGGAATGTAAAGGAAAGTCCTTTTTAAATGCAGCATAAAGTTTCATGTGTAAAATACAGTCTGTGGCTTGTGTGCATTCTAACCACATTTTAATGTTTTAAAAGATATCTAGGGCATAAGAGCAGTGAGTACTTTTCACTGCTCCGTGTTCTTTTCTCCATTCACACCTATTAAACATCCAATTTAAGAGGGGTTCTTTGGGGGTTTTGTTTTCTTTTATCCTTGAAGTAGACTAGTCAATTTTCTTTCCCTTCCCCTTGAAAGAGTACTGATAAAGAAAGTACTGGAGTCCAAATTTGCTGAAATACATTCTGGAAATTTCCGTACCATTTGAATGTATTGGGATGCATTGGTTGTCTTTTTTTTTTGGCCGGGGCTGGGTTTGAACCCACCACCTCTGCATATGGGATCGGCGCCCTACCTTTTTGAGCCACAGGTGCTGCCCTGGTTATCTTTTTAAACAGGTTGATAAGAATTCCCACCTATCAGGTATAAGGCAGGAGCATGTGGCATACTTCCTGGGTGAAAGGCTCAACTACAACTTGGATTTTGGACTTTACCTTACAAATGCAAATAATGGAACCTAATTGTATGTGCCCCCATATTAACGTAAAATTGAAACAAAAAGAAAGGCCAATAAGGAAATACTTGGTTTGGAGAATATGAAAAATTCCTGTGTGTTTTCATTGTGAAGGTTACTGATATAAAGGTACCTGAGTGCTTCTGAATGGCATTTTTGTCTGAAAATTTTTTAAAGGATACCTGAGTGCCACTTGGTAATGGGCAGATAGGAATACCTTCTTAATTTTTTTTTTCTTTAGAGGGAGAAAATCTAAGCCGATTTCAGTAGTACCGATCTTTAGAAGTCCTGTGTAATTTTGGTGTGTGCTTAAAATGACATCAGTAAACTGCCCTTTTGACCTGCTGTCAACATTCACCAGCAGTTTAACTCAAATCTCTCAAATCCCAATGCAATCTCCTGCCAGAGACAGTGCTTTGCCTTTAGATTACTTGACCTCCAAAGACTGAATATAATTGTTTAAATGGTTTTTAACAGCAATCTCGGCTTGATTTTCATTTGGAAGATTGACCTAAGTCTCCCCTGCTTACTTAAAAAGATTCCTGACTGTGTTTCTTAGTTCTAAGAATGATAAACTCAACCCAATTCATAGTTACTGAACTAAAGAATGCAGACAATTCTTAGGTGTTTGTTTGTTCTTA